AAACGAACTTTTCCACTAAAGTCAAAAAGTTTTCAAAAGCACCCCCCAAAAAAGCGTGGAAGGAACCAAGTAGATCTTGAGCCAAGTAAACCAAGGAACTCCAGCCCCTTAGCATTTTGCTCCTTTGCATGCTGAACTTCAACAACATGCGCCAGGCTGGCTCGCTTGGTCTTCGCTGCGTTGAAAGCCGTCCATGCGCATTCATCCTTCCTGGTCAGGGTACATGGAACAACACCAAAACATGAGTTATTGAGTTATGAACCACCACTACAAAGCATCAAAACAACAGCTGTCATGAGAAACAAAGCTACGCCAAGGTTCGCAATTTTTGCCTTAAGTGATGCAAAGGCTGCATTTTCCAATTCCTCTTCTTTCTCCTCCACAGTCTTCTCATCAACAGCAACTCCCATTGCTGTCGCCGGCGTCTCCCTTTGCACCATCTCAGTCCACAAGCAAAGGTTTTTCACAGTCCATCCGGCCGGCTCTGCCTTGATGATGGCTTCAATCTCTTCGAAGTAGTCCCTAGCGATAAGTACCCAGGCTAAAAATTGACTGTGAGTCGGATTTGTGTTCGCTTGGTATGTATATATATACCCTAGAAAATATTTACCACATACTACCCCTTACTACCCAAAAATGTAGTGAACATGAGAGCAAGTGTACACAGTTTATGTACATGTTTACCGAACATATTCTGATTCAGAACTACGATTGAGAAACCACGATTGAGAAACCAAGATTCAGGGTGGAGTGTATAATATATCATGTTTTGCTTCCTCGCGACATCTGCTATAGTTTCTGAATCAGGCGGTAGTTTCCGAACCATAGTTTGATGTTGCATACACATTCAGTTAGATACAAAAAGGAATAATAACTGTACCCAAAATGATTCTGTGAGTCATCAGTTGGTTTTGAAAGGGTCACATGATAGACCTGAATGTGACAAAGTGTTGAGTTGTTGAAACCTGTGATTTACGAATTGCCTGTGATTGGATGAGTCTGAGTGTGATTGGATAAAACTCTATAGATTAATTTGCGCCAAGAAACAGGTCCAGAAATGCCTTCTTGATGGTTTCCAAATCCGGAGCGTCTGCCAAGAGAGAAGCTTCTTTCAAGACATGTGCGTAGATGCAGGCGAAATTGATGTATGCGTCCCAGTCTTGCGCACTCAGCCTGCACCGCGGCCTCTGGTTCGGTCGGACTTTTCGCGTCTTGAGGTGGAACTGGTGAAAGACCAAGGCCAGGAACATCTCCTGCGAAGTCTCCGTGACTGTGAGCAAGACTTTCAAGTGAGGCTGGCATCCACGCGGCACAGCTTTCAGAAGCCATCTCGGCTTTCTCAAAAGCTCCGATGTGAGGGCGGATTGGCTCCACTTGAATTTGTGAAGATGGTTGGCAATGAGTTCCCTGGATCCCGCCGATGTTGCTGTAATCATGTTCAGGATGCTCTGGACCTTATCTTCGTCCAGGAACCATTTCTGCAGCATCCCATTCGTAGAGTGGAACTCCTGGACCACCTTACGAAGGCGGTCTTCCGCCGACCAATCCTTCGAATGTAGGCCCTGCATGGACCGAGTTTCCATGATGGCGGAGAACCGTAATGACATTTGAAGGACATTCGGCGGCTGGCGCTCGCCGCCGCGAAAGCTCAGCATCATGTTGGTATAGCTGGATGCAACAGCATCCATGTTCATCCTGACCTCAGGAAAGCCCAGATTGAAAATCACAAGTGAAAGCAACATTCACAATCACATCATTCTCAAATATGCCTCTTGGGGTTACACATTCATTGACAATCACAATCACAAATTATTGAACACATCACAATAATACCAGAATCAATCAGGCCACACAAGTTCATATGTAAGATCATGAATCCAAGGCGCATGGACTGGCAGTAGCCACCCCTTGTCCAAGAGGTTCGCAAAAGGCTCCAGAACCTTCTCGCTTTCAGGCGTGATGTCATTGTCTCTTGCAAGCAACAGGCCAAATGCGATGCACTGAACCTTGGTGTACCCTTTGACTATGCGGATGCTCAGTGGCGTTATCTCGGCTGACTGTCCTGTCTCCAAAATTTGATCTCCAAACATGGTCTCTCGTGCAATGTTTTGGATACTGGGGATACATGAACATTTGCACGAGGCTGCTTGCGCAAGATGAAAGCAAAAGCAAGCAGTCCTGCAGGCACATCCACCTTGGCTCACCAACAGCCAAACGAAACAGTTACGATGTCAAATTCACTACAGTCACGCATGCGCAATCCATCTTTAAGACCCTTGCTGTCACATCGATCGGCTCTCTGGACAACTCCACCCCTGAAAACAGCATCCCTTCAAAGACCGTGAGCCAATCTTCCAGAACTGGCAGTCCGTCATCTGGAAGGCTGTGCCTGAGCTTAAGAACAGAGCGCATCGTATGCTCAACATTGTTACATTGTTCAACCAAGAGCAACCGACTTTCGGATTGCCTCCGAGACACATCAAAGCGGTGATGGGCACCTTGATGACATCACCATCCATGTGGCTATGGATTACCTTGCAAAGAACACATTGACATGTAGTTGTTTGGAAGAAGTCGTGGGACAATGGGAAGCAACAAATCATACATGCGTACATGCATACCTGCATACCTGCAAAGACACACGCGTGCAATCATAGACGCATACAAACATTAAAACCTACATACTCACAAACATACAACAAACCAAGTAAATAAACAATCAAACACACAGGCAAACAAACAAAAATAAGCGAGCAAACGAACAAGCAAACAACCATACCATACCATACCATACCATACCATACATACATACATATGTACGTACGCACACACAGAAAGACACCATTGATGCCAATGTGAATGCATGAAACCATTCAGTATGTTGTATAGTTTGTATTGTATAGTTTGTAGACATCTCTGTGTGGTATGATAATGGTATTTCAATGCAAAAAGGCAACATAAACAGGGTCAATGTGATCAAAAAGACGTTGGGAATGTGTTTTGACAAAGGCGCCAATCCTTGAAGCTCTTTGAACATGACTTGATGTCCGTTTGAATTCCGCATCTTGGCATAGTCTTGGAACCACGCTTCAAGTCCAGCCGCATTATTCTGCACCACCTCCGAGTGCCTATCACCAAGGGCATGTAAGACTGCCTCACCTGGGTGCAAAGCTCCCTCAAAAACTGCGGTGTCAGATTTCAGCAGTTGCAGCACACCGAGGAGCTCCTGCTTCAAAATTACTACACATCACATTCAAGAATCTGCGCATATCAAACAACTTGTTAAACAAATCTGTTCATTCAGTTGTGTAATCTTCTGAAGTCTCCTTCATCACAGTCAGATCGCCTGGCATCTTCTTGAGTTGCTTCTCATAGGGTGTGCACAGGACCTTTGCAGGCGGCCCACTCTCCACCTTTTCATGTTTCTTGACCAGGTCCATCCATGGCTTCATTGCCATGATTGCAAGGCAACTGGACCAGCTCGGGCCCAAGAAGCTCTTGAGCACACATACAATAACATACGTTCCTGTACGGGGTACATTGATTTTTTAACATGATTTCGTTTTAAAATCAAGCGACCTGTGCCCGGCGGCTACATTGATCCTTTCACTACGTAGGGTCTGAAGATTGATTTCAAAACAGAAACTGAACATTGAAATCAATCCCCAATGTCTACGTTCTGAAGAAATCAATCGACCCGTGCCCGACGGTTACATTGACTTTTATGCTGGATTTTGAAAAA